TTTAATACTTTTTAATGGCCTTAATTTTTGCTAATTTCATTTACTACCTTTTAATACCTTTTACACCCTGACTAATGAAAACATACCTATGGATATTATATTCCATTTCTGACAATAGATCCTCTTCAATGTTAGACACTGGACCTTTAATCACAAACAATCACATATATCAGTATTTACTTAAGCCCCAAATGAAGATATTTGAACTCAAAAACATTACATTATTGTATTACTTATCTTTTACTTAAAAAAGGAAAACTGCAACTGTAGAATTCTGTTCTGTTTGTTAACCACTGTCAATTTTGGACCTTGATCAACTCCTTTTACAAATGCCCATACATCCCAGCTGAAGTGATGGAAAAACACAACACCAAACAGAGTGACAGTGATTTGTTGGCAAATAATCAAACAAGAAATCTCTCTGATGCAACAAAAGACCAACTCTGAAAACCGAGGCCATTTGTAAGACCCTCTCACTCTGTATGAAAGGTAAATAAGTGCTGGCTGGCAGACTGATGGGCTCTTTCTCCAGGGCCGGGCTCATCAAGCAGTGCACGCCCAAGAAAAAACGGCTAGCGCAGCAGCAGTTTCCAATCATTTGCCATGAAGGCCTAAGAGTCTGTGGTTTTTTATTACAGCAAAAGTCAAAAACAGCTGATTCTGATCATAGGTTCCTTCTCTAGGTATGAAGGTATGTCAGACAGTAGAGTGAAATCCTGTGGAGTTCAGCTGCAATTCTTCACACTTATAGATTTGTTGGCTCTAAAGAAAGAAAGAAGCTTTAAAGAACACGCTCTCTATACTGTAGCACATGTGCAAACAGATCTTCACAGGACTTATACATTGCTAATAAAGTCCACTTTTACAACCTGTGACTCCAACGTTTCGACCATCATTCAGTTAGAATATTTTACTCACCAAGTTAACTGCGGAAATTTAGGAATCATATAAATAGAACAAAAAAGTAAAACCCACATGAGCAGCTAGAAAATCAGTTATTTGGAATGACGATGTACAAAACAAAGATAAGCCACAGATCTTGCTGTGAGCGGTTTGAAGTTGGAACTGATGCCGGAATGAGTTTCAAAGAGGGGGGCATTCAACTAAGGATGGTCTTATACAACTTCATCTTCCTTTCAGTCTCAGCCTTCGAGTATTACAGCTTAACGTGTTTCTGAAAAGATTTTAGGCGAGAATTGGGAAGCGCAGTAACAGAATCTGGATTCATATTTGATCAGCACTGCCTATTTTGACAGTTTGATCTGAGTTCAGTGCGTTAAGATGGACAGACTCACTGAGAATGACTTGTCAATCATGAAATAGCCACGCCCTAAAGCTACCCTGCTACTCAGCAACTCATACCAAAACTATCTAGATGGATAAACCCTTGACCCTGAGGGATCTGTATATACTGTCAAACCCTAAACAGTACCCAAACCTTGTTGGCCAGGTGCTGACATTCCAGTTTACTTATTTTATTTCTCTTATGAATGCACCAGACCAGCAGTATCAAACGAGCTTGGAACTACATTAGGATTTTTATTCTGATTCATTAATCTATTGAAAAATAAAAAAGAGATTCTCTGAGCCATAATGGTTCTATATATAACCACCGCAGCCTTTGAAGAACCGCTCATTTTCTGGGTGTAACCAGGCACAAGGCAGCTTCCATTAAAGCTAAAATGGTCCTGGTGGTTACAGCGTGTGCCTGACACCCATTTCCTACCCCCGTACACCGAAACACACCCCAACATTTACACTGAAGACGAAGACAAAGGCTGTTTTAAAGCCATTGTCTTTTCTCCTCCATCTTTTCAATCTTTATCACTTTCTTTCATCCTTTTTTTTCCCACTTTTGAGATGTCCCTTCCATTTCTCCACCAATTTTTTTTTGTCAATTTTCATCTTTTTTCAATTTTTTCATGTCTTTTTCTGTGTTTTCTTTCTTTCATTGGCTTCCAAAATGGTGATGTCAACCAATAAGAGCACAATAAAATTTGTCCAGCCTCCCTCTTCAGCGTTCCCCCCACTTCAAACGCAGGAGGAAGGTTTGAACTCTCTGCCTGTTTGTTGCTTGCAGGGAAAAGCTTTTTTTTTTGTTACGTCTCCTTTGTGTCTCTTTGCCATAAAGAAAGACATGGGGGCTTCAGAGAGTGAGAGAGAGACCAAGAGAGGGAGAGAAAGAGAGCATCACCTGCTCCCAATTGAAACAGGGTGAGACAGAACTTTTATTCTGCACTTCAAAGAGCCAAGAGACAAAAACTTACCACTCCCCTTCAAAAACCTCTATTCATAGGCTAACCATAATGGGCTGAGGAGTGGGCTTGCGTGTGTGTATGAGTGAGTGAGTGTGTGTGTGTGTGTGTGTGTGTTTGTGTGTGTGCGTGTTTATACCTGGTCACAAGCTTCTTTGCAAGGCGAGAACTTGGCAGCATGGTGGCAACAGGAGGGATCTGCAGACAGATGCACAAAGTTAGTTGCAGCATTACAGTTTGTTTAAAGTATTATCATCAGTGGAGGTGAGGAGATTAGTGGACAGTCTCTGCAACCGTCAGTGGGTGCAAAATTGTTACATGAATCAGATATGAGTGGTGATGAACAGTTAGTGAACTAACAAGTCCCTGTATCTGGAAAGCTAGCCGGTAACATGCTAGCCAGCCAATGCTTCTCTCACCGAACCAACACTGAATATTTGCATAACAGTAGTGGATAGAAACAAGCATTCATTCCCTATTTTTGCGAATTTACTTGAAAATTCAGTTAGGGTTTGTGATACATTTTAATGGAAACACGGCTAGCAACTACTCACATGGCTAGTTATCTTATCTGGAAAGCTAGCTGCTAACATGCTAGCTAGCCAATATATTAGATTAACTTTTCTTAGAAATTAAAATAATGGGACAGGAAAAACTAGTCCAACTGAGTATACTGGCCACAGTATCCAGACACTGATTTACATTCATAATCAATTCAATTCTGAGACTACACGAAAATCACAAAATCATGTAGAAGAAGCAGTATGGTCATGTTTGCACATTCAGCTCCCCTAAAGTCTGTCAGTCCTGAAACTGTATGTACCAGA